AACCGAGTTTGCGCTCGAATAGTGATTTATTATAGCCGTGGTGAGTGTTATACATAGCCATTGAAAACAACATCACGATGCGTAGCCATTCGCACTCCTTCGTTCTGTTAACGGTCGGAACCGGACGGATTGTCGTAGTGTTGCGGAAGCCAGTTGGGCCACCTGCTCTTGAGTCCCAACGATAGCCTGTTGAGACATCACCCTTTTATATTAACTAAGTCGTGGCCGATGTCGTGCTGGACTTGGACTTCATGTGTTAGTGGAAAAACCAAAAAAAAAGTCGTCTCTTAGTTGGGGATGTGTGGAGTACGCGGACGTTGCAACCACCTATCTAAGTATTTGAGGAGCGCCATTTTTTTTGTAAGGTATATTTTTTTGTGAAAGATCATTCTTCTTATGCTTGCCGGACTCCATTAACGCTAGAACTTCGATAATATTGTTTCCGTTAGAGACTGAACTACTAAGCAAACAATTTCATTTTCGTATTTCTAGACTGTAGGGCTTGAAAAAGACCTCCCATAGAGAGTCTGCTTCCCGTGCATGAATTCATTTAAAAATTACATAATTTTCACATGATTGTGCTCAAATCAACAGGAACAAGTAAATGTGAAGAGTAGGAACCAAAATGATGAGAGAAACAAAAAGTTCTCCAAACTTTCTTACGCCGCCATTACTTGAAAAAAAATCTTGTTGCTTCGAACAAAGATTTCAGATTTGGCAAAACTTATTTTATTTCATTCTGTATTCCGGTCTGATTATCGTATGTAATACGTGACAATTTGAGATAATTTCGTCACTGTTTAGGCATCGCGATAGAATAGGAAAGAAAAGTTTAATGCACTTTTTGACTCTACTGGGTAGATGACGCTTATGATATATGATATACGAGTGACCTATAATTATATATATCATATAACAATACTATTATATACGTATATCATATTAGTAGATATATATATACTATATATATACGGTAATATATATATTAAATCCACCCTTTATTATAATATATATATACGAATATATATATATAATATACGTATAATATATATATACGATATATATATATATATCTATATTATATATATTATATATATAACGCCTATTATTAGAAGATATTGCCAATGCCAGATTTTATAAAGCAAACAGTTCTTTGTGGTTTTCTTTCCGTAATGGCGTTATGACGGTTGTGTGGCGAAACATTCGATCTTGTAAGAAAAGCTCAATTGATTGGGAGGAGGCGAAAAAAAAAAACGATATCAGTGCGGTTATTTGACCTGGTGTTTAAATGGTAGTTCTCCGCCTTCCACTGAAAAAAGCCACGGCCCGGCGGAGCACAGGTTCTCGTGCCTCCCCGGTGACGTCAAAACGAGCAGGCCAAGGAACAAGCAATGGGCCATCCTTTGCCCACCACTCTTTACTTTTAATACATTAAGTATCGTTGACGAGCAGTATCCAGTTTCCGTGTTCTCAACTTCAACGTTGATAAGTAGATAATAATTAGGAATCGAACACGAAGAACACTGTTTATTCAATTATTCACGATGTACCCCTAAAGGCTTCTCATCAGGGAAGCCTCGACTTCCATCTACATGATCGATTTCAATTCCTAGGGCAAAGGTCGCCGTACTTCCTGCAACATGCATACAATCATATTCGCGGCCGCGGCCAGTCAAAGGTCCAGGTACGGTCCCCAGCTTTATTCAAGCAAAAGTACGCAAGCGCTGCGCCCTTGGCCCCATCTGTCCGAGATCGGGGCGGCGCGCCTTAGCGAGCATGCTACGTTTTCACTTCAGCCGACCGAACGCGCTTCGTCCCGCCCAGCGTTATCCGCGTCCTACTGAGCGTTTTCTCTTTCCCTGTTTTCCCCGCCTGCCGATGTGGTCGCAGCGCAGTCCCCGTGGCACATGGACGGAAAGCGTATGTGCCCAAGAATGGTTTTGCATATTATTCATAACATCAATGCGGGGGATCCATCTTTACAATACCACACCGTTAGCCGTTCCGTGATCTACCAATACTCGAATAGCAGATCTGTGAGCTCAGCCTTTTGTGGACGTGAAGTGTCAATGTTAAACTCGAAGCCGAAAAATCTGTTGCGGAATCCCCAACGAGAGGGCCATATCTAGTCGCGACAGCTTATGGGAAGAACAAGATTCTCGCGATGTAACGAACTTTTTGCGGCAAACTCGCGAAGGAAATTGGCCACAAGAGATTTACTATCCGTCAGCAACGTAGAGTGGGAATAAGAAACGACTATCCCTGTCTCCCAATATCGACCCCCAGACACGAACTCCCCTCCACCATACAAGCTAGCTCTCTCTCCCCTGTAGCCGCACCGAAAAACGTTGCACGGTCCACTTCAGCCATTATGCGATAGCCGAAATTCTCAACTAGCTGAAACTGACGTTAATTTTCTTATAAATTCCAATGTTTCTACATTAATAACGTTCATTATAATGCTGCAAAAAAGCGTTTTTGCGTCCAGCGGGCAGCCCTGCAGCATAAGTTCTCTTTTCCATTCCCTTATAGTGTTTATGCAGATCTGTTGACACCACAGCGCGAGCACGACTCAACGGTACTGTAAGTGCCTAATTTTCTAGGTCTATGGTCTATTCCTGAAAGCAATGCACTCCCTCTTTCCTGCCCACCCCCTCCTGCCCATCCCCCCGTCTTCTCCACCCCTCCCGCCCATCCCCTGCCTTCTCCACCCCACCTGCCCTCCCTCCGGCTGCCACGGCAGCACATGCAGAATGAAACGGAGTTTGCTCGATTAGTGTTTATATAGCCGTGTGAGTGTTATCATAGTCTTGAAAACAACATCACGATGCGTAGCCATTCGAGCTCCTTCGTTCAGTTTACGGTCCGCCCGGACGGATTGTCGTTAGTGTGCGGAAGCCAGTTGGGCAATCCTGCTCTTGAGTCCCAACAATGGCTTCCTGTTGAGACATCACCCTTTATATTCACTAAGTCGTGGCCGATGTCGTGCTGGACTTGGACTTTCATGTGATTAGGGAAAAACCAGAAAAAATCGTCTCTTAGTTGGGGATGTGTGGAGTACGGGACGTGCCAACCACCTATCTAAGTATTTGAGGAGCGCCATTTTTCTTGTAAGGATGTTTTTTTGTGAAAGATCATTCTTCTTATGCTTGCCGGACTCCATTAACGCTAGAAACATTCGATAATATTGTTTCCGTAGAGACTGAACTACTAGCAAACAATTTCATTTTCGTATTCTGGACTGTAGGGCTTGAAAAAGACCTCCCATAGAGAGTCTGCTTCCCGTGCATGAATTCATTTAAAAATTACATAATTTTCAATGATTGTGCTCAAATCAACAGGAACAAGTAAATGTTGAAGAGTAGGAACCAAAATGATGAGGGAAACAAAAAGTTTCCAAACTTTTTACGCGCCATTACTTGAAAAAAAATCTTATTTCTCGAACAAGATTTCAGATTTTCAAAACTTATTTTTTCCTTCTTATTCCGGTCTTGATTTCGTATGTAATACCTGAATTTGAGATAATTTAGTCATGTGTAGGCATCGCTAGATGAAGAATAAAAAGTTTATGCACTTTTGACCGCTACTGTATATAGCTATATATAGCAGATATGCAATGCATTTTATAAAGCAAACAGTTCTCTTTCGAATGGCGTATAACGTTGTGTGGAAACATGGATCTTATAAGAAAAAGTTCAATTGAGAAAAAAACGATCGTGGGTATTGGGTAACCTGGTGTTTACATGTTTTCTCCGCTCCATGAAAAAGCTCACCGGCGGCGAGCACGTTCTCGTGCTGGTGACGTCAAAACAGCGGCAAGGGAGCAAGCAAGGGCCAGCCTTGCCACCATTACTTTAATACATTAAGTACTTCGAGCATCTATCGTGTTCTCACTTCACGTGATAAGTAGAAATAATTAGGAATCGAACACGAAGAACACTGTTTATTCAATTATTCACGATGTACCCCTAAGGGTTTTCACAGGGAAGCCTCGACTTCCTCTACATGATCGATTTCAATTCCTAGGGCAAGGTGGTACCTGAACATCATACAATCATTTCGCGCGCGGCCCATCAAATCCATGTAGGTCCCCAGCTTTATTCAAGCAAAGTGACAGCAGCGCTGGCCCCTGCCATCCTTCCAATCTGCGGCGGCTGCGACATCATTTTCACGTCACCGACACGCGCTCGCGCCCGCGTCGTCGATGAGCTTTTCTCTTTCCCTGTTTTCCCCGCTGCGATGTGTGTCGCAGTTGCAGTCCCGTGGGACATGGACGGGAAGGTTTGCCCAAATGGTTTGATTTTTCATAAATCAATGGTGATCATTTTCCATACCCACCGTTGCCGTTGTGATCTACTCAATACTAGCAGACCTGGGCTCACTCTTTTGTGGTAAATGTCAATGTAGTACTCAAGCCGAAAAATCTGTTGGGAATCCCCAACGAAGAGGGCCATATCTTCGGACAGCTATGGGAAGAACAAGATTTCCGATGTGAAGAACTCTTTGGGAAAACTGGAGGAAATTCCAAGAATTTACTATCGTCAGCAGATAGAGTGGGAATAAAGAAAGATATCCTGTCTCCATATCCAGAACGAATTCAATTACAATCCGCCTAATTCAAACCGAATGCTTCCGACTTGGTTTTATGAAGAAATTTCGTAATGGCCTCCTGTACCGACGGCATTAGGAGAATGAGGAAATATTGAGCACGGGTCGAGCTCAACGAGGTACTGGACGGTGCGTTGACCCTTATGACGTTATCTGGAACGCTTCGAAGCGGTTTGCATAGTCAGAATTAAGGTCGGAAGGAAACTGTTTGCCAGTGAACTGATTGAAGAAATGATGTAGCAGGTTAACACTTTGGAGCCCATGCAGCCGATATGTGGGCTGCAGTCCGTCAAGCACCTAGGACCTTACGGCCTAAATTTGGAAACAGATCTTCACTTTCTTTGCTTGCTTTCCTTTCCTGTTCATTCGATTAGGTTTCTTCTGCATTCTGCAGTAGGTCTTTCTTCTCGATTTGCTTGATAATTCTCCTGAAGCTTCTACTGAAGTTCCATGCGGCCAGAAATCGTAAAACATGCGCGGTCTCCAACGTGTTAAGCAGGAGCATTTACGGGATGGTGGAAGCCGTCTACTGACGAAAGAGAGGGGCAAAGGAGGGCTTGCTTCTGCTCATAAGCGAACATCTCGGGGATGTCTTGCTGTAAAACACTCCAATGGTGGCAATCTGTGCGTCGAAAAAAATCGTTGACGTGTGTCATGGGCGAATGCCTTTTTTTTGTTCCCCTCCACATATCGCAAGACTGTCGAAACAGCGATATCGAAAAGGAATCGTGTTGGGATCCCTACTTTAGAGAAGAAATCTGACCTCTAGATTTCTCAACGTGATGGTTGAATCTGGCCCCTCATCATTGCAGGGTGACCCTAGCCGGTGAATGAGAAACGCCAATCTCTAGTGATTTGTGTTAAGGTGCCCTCGCACCCATCTCCATTCATGAGAAAGCTTTGAAAAGGAAACTTAAATTTAGCTCCATCAATGAAACCTACCCTGGCCGAATGGAAGATGGCTGCATCAGCCGCTAGTCCTTGGACTCCCATAGTTCGCACCTGAAATGACAAACAATGCATAAGACAACAAAAATAAGATGACATCCAAAAATATGACAAAATTTGAGCACACGCTTGAACCTCAATCATCCAAAGCGATCCTTCTGGGACTGTGGGGCCACGAATCCGCTTCGGACCACCCTGCACACACTACCAGCAGCACTTTATTCCTTACTAAGGTAATGACAGTAACCAACAAAATCGTTACTCATCCGTGAAAAGCATGCTTAACCACTCACTTCATCCATGTTGTGATGAATCAGATTGTCAACGAGATCCGTTCCTCGATACTTGTCCGCTACCAGAATCGCCATCAGGAAGTAGACTTTGTTGATTTCAGGATCGATAGCAGCCCAAAACTATAACGTAAAGTGAATCCACTGATTAGAGGAAGTGGTCACGATAATTTTCATAAGACAATAAGGGATGCTATGTACCGCCAGTGGATAGGGGTCCTGCCGAATTATACAACAGGTAGTGTTTCAGTGGCAGTGGCGCTCATCCTTATCAACGACGTGATAAGGCGCCGAAGTCCAATTCCGGGTAGCAAAAACAAAGCCGTATTGCCATTATCGTTATCGTTCCGTTTCATTCTGGAGTGCACCTCTTATCATGCAGGCACCTTCTTATCTCTTCGTATCATATCTTCCACCCGCTGAAATAGCTAACTGTTGGACGGCTTACACCCGTCCAACAGTTAGCTATTTCACTTCACTTTACACTTCACTTCACACTCATTTTATCAATTGACCATATTGGTCCCCCGTCAACCGCCGACACCTTCCTACGCTTTGTGTCTTCCATTGTGCTCCCTTCCACCTGTGACGCCAACATCTCGTAGAGGTGACGCGTATGCAACAAAAATGAGTTTCATATAGGAGAGGGCATTGCCATAATCATGGCATGACGGTAGATTTTCCGCCTCTCCACCTCAACCTCCCTTCCTTCCTCCACTGCCCTCCAGCTGCCATTACAATGTGGAATGACCAGGAGTGTGCTCAGAAGGTGTTTATAATATACATATCCATAGGAGTGTTATCACCATCATCAATTATCCTGCTACAAAACATACCTCAAGTCTTGTGACCTACCCGTTTTGTTAGCTTGCGTCGTTGCTTATTCCATGAGCTTCCTTGTCACTCACTTTATTTTGCGAACGGACAGACGGACATGCATACATACACACGTACAGACACACATACACACAAATCGACACATCAAGTTAGCGGTTCATATAATAGAAGGATAACGCGAGGGTAGCAGATCCACGTGGAAGCCAGCGTGGTCGTTTCCTTAAAGCCACGAGGCAGGATTAGGCAAACAGCAGAAGTTCCTCCCAGGGTGTGATAGTACGCTCCCCAAGCACTGAGGGCGCGACACTATCGTGACCCAAAAGTGCGCGGCAATGGCGCTAAGGCCTTGCCCGCCGCGCTGCCCGCGCTGCCAGCGTAATCCAGCACAGCATACGTGGTCTCTGCGTCCCTCACGCAAGACGTACTATGGTGCTTTTTGCTTTTTCTCCTCACTAATGTTCCTCATTGCACCCCTTGCCTAATGTTTGAATAAAATAACGCATCGATTCAATCCCGACTTGTGCTTTAAGAGGACCCAGCCACAGGAATGTGGTGCAAGATTCGAGCTCACTGGAGACTTTGACGGAATGTGGACAACCACGTCGTCTGAAAATCGGTTGGCAAAGGTTGAATTCAGATCTAAATACTATCGCTGGGGGCTGTCCACACGATTGAAGTTAGGTAGCTGCTTCAGGCTGAAGCAGTTACGTTGACCACCTTGAGGTGTTTCAGAAGAGTCATCGTTATGGAACGATGAAGCCAACGGAAAAGTCTAACATCTGCTTCGTGGGTGCTGAGTCCTGATATTCGTATAGTGCCTATGCTTCCTTGATGCGTCATCTCCTAAAAAAAGCATTCTACCTAGGGGTGGGAATGGCGCTGGGAGAAGGCACACTATATTGTGCTCCTGATCCTAAAGAGCAGTATAAGAACCCCCAATGACACGTAATCGACTCATTCGAAGTATACTTCTGATAAGTACCGTGAGCAATGTACAACTTCTACCGAAATGCTTCATATTTCGGCTGCCAAAAGTCCAAGAAAAATATATCCTGATCGGCAGAGTGGAGGGGGTGGGCAAAAAATTATTCTCCCTCCACATTCAGAAAGCACAGTTTATGGAAAAATGACATGATAGCCTCCTACGCCATAGCATCAGAGGAATTTCCCACGAAAACATGGCGCATGGTTCGAGTTCAACGAGGTCTTCGACGGATCGTGGGCCATCACGAAATTACCTGAAACGTTATTGGAAGTAGTCCTGCTTATTCAGAGCTACTACCATGGAGCTGCTATGCTAGAAGGAACTTCGAAGATGCTACATGGTAAACTTGAGCAATTACGGTAGATCTCTTTGAGTTCGACGGCGCAGTGGCAGATATATTTTTACGACGATGAAGTGAAGGAGTGCCCGCTTCTCCACAAGTGAAAATCTGAGAAAAATTTTGCGACGAAAAGTTTAGTGATGTGCGCGTTGAACTCATGGAATGAGCTGAACAGTTTACAAACGATTTCACGAAACAGTTGTTTGCATGAGCAGCAGGCACCCTACGAATCGTAAACAACCCCATCACTTAACTCTGACTACTGGTGGTACCCTTGTGTGCCACTACCATAGTCAAAGGCACTACCACAGTTTTGGACTTGTTGAGTCTGGAATGCCCATTTGTACCGCACGGGGTATCATTCTACACAGTTCCCAAAAAGATATTTTCAGGGTTCACCTTCTCATAATACTTGTGCCAATGATTTTGGTGTTCCCAGCATTTGGATCAGGTGCGACATACGCCAACGAACGATGAAAGATGGGGCATCAACCTAGTAAGTCATAGAATTTTATTATTATTAGAATTTTATTATTATTTCATTATATATTAGAATTTCCCCGACAGTGTTGGAGACTCCAACATTCTGACAGTTTGGATGGTGCGGGAGTGAAATTAGACGATTATTACGACGAAATAGATTTTGAAGCGGTAGAAGGCGACGAAATTTGTTAGAGCAGAAGATCCCGGCAGATACGCCGCGCTTCTACGTAATATATTACATAGTGCGCCTTGCAATTCTACCCAAGTGTGGACTTTGGCCTTGTTCCACGAATAAAATATGGAAGTTGTAGGTTTGTGATTGCTTTTTAAGTTGCTAATTTACATTTGCAAAATACTCATTTGAGCCGCGATGGTGCGGTGACAAGAGGGCAGGGTCGGTCCTATCGTCCCTCCTCCCTCACAAAATGTTTCATACGACCCCCTCCCTCAATACAATTTTTACCCCAAAAAATTACCGTCGAGCGGGGGTATATACTTCGAATAAGACCGCAAGAATTCCCTACATTTACATTACATCTACCCATTTTTCAACTACTCCCTTCTCTAGGGAGGTGCGGGAGTTATATGCGCGCTGAAACGGCAAATTTTCTCCCGCGCCGCCCCCTCCCCCCACTCATCACATGCAACTTCTTACAACCGAACCAAGTACGACCCCCCCCCTCTACAAACTCATCAAACGACCCCCCGTTGTTACTTGTAGCAACATAGGGTTGACCTTGCAAGAGGGGCCACTAACGCGCGTAGACCCTGGATCAAACCCAGGTCAGGTCCAGCATACGTCAGCTAAACTTCTATAGGAGTTTGGTGGTTGCATGGAGTGAGTCACTGTATAAAGCACTTCGGTAGCTTGTAAAAAAGTCGTGGTATAAGAGTTAAAAGAAGGTTTGACCGCCCATGAAGTCCTAGACCTGAAGAAAACCACAAAGAAAGAATCGCTGACCTGTTGATGCAAAGTGCGCAACAAAGCCAGCGTCCGAGTGATCGTTGAGGAAACTTCTTCGTAAGGCAACCCCTGAACTTAAATCATTATATTGATGTTATGCAAAATTTAAAGCGAGAGATTACGATAAAGTGCGTATGCCGCGTGGAAGTACATGCACCATTGGAAGCAGTAGTCAGGGGCTCAAGGAAACGAAATGTTGCGTTTTTGTGGAGAAAGGTGCGCTAGTTGCAGCGTACAAGGCTTGCCATTCCTTTCTGAGCCCCGCCACGGTCTGTGCTCCGCCCCCAGCAGCAGCGCCCTCCGATTGCCCATGTGACGAGATATGCCACTTCCAAGTGTATCCTATAAATTTTCATGGGATGCGTGATCAATCAAAGCATGATGCTTGCTGAAATGATATAGGCTATCAGCATCACAGTGCAAACGACCTCCTAATTGATTGCAAGCTCGTCCATTATCGGAGGTCAACGGGCAAAGAAAGGGGTGCGATTTTGCGCCTTCTTGACGGATTTCTTTGTTTTTTTCGCCACTGGGGCATTATTCAGCATCTCCACTTCCACTATGAACCCAGTCCAAACTCATCGTAATCCCTCGCTTTAAAAACACTGGAATCTAAGTGTGAGGTGCTCAGTCGCTTCCTTAGAAGGTGTTTGCCCGATAGAACTTCACTTGCATGGCGAGGACTTCGGATGCTGACTATTTAGGTCTATCATGTGAACTACGAGGCAGCCTATGTTAAGGGTAGCTCTGAGGCACATTCTCAACGAAAAGCTGAACAGAATGAGAGGCCTGCCAGGGCTCTCAAGAAATCATTAAAATGGAAAGCAACAACACCTCTGCTTGATATGAAGCATAAAAAAGCCCCCAGCTCAGCGCCAATTGATCGTCATACCTTCTACAGGGTGTCCCATAAATATTGCACCATTTTGAATTTAAATTCTGTGGTTGTTTACAACTTTTCTTCCGAGATTGCCAGACCTTTTATTCCCAGATCTCTTATGAATAACCATGTCAAATTCCACGGCTGCCGTCCGGCCTGCATCTCATGATGCGCCCAAACTTCAACAGAGTGCTTAATCTTTCGCAAATCTTCAGAAGCTCAACTGCCCCGCGGCCTATCGCGCACTACGGAGAAGAACCGTGGATGTAGGCTACATTGCAATCGCATCGTGAGTTCTGCCATCTCGGTTCCCAAGGAAAGGTTTGGCGAAGTGGACTGACTGACCGAATGACCAGAACGATAAAGCTCCGAAACACAATCACGTGGCGAATGGTCTTACAACAACTGCTGACTAGCCATTATGAGCTGCATAAGCGCTACCGCTCAATCAAACTGAGAAGTACAGCAAAGACAAAAACTCCGAAGAGCTGGTGCCGAGGGCGAAAATGGCTGTTACGTCGGCATCATTTTCTTCGAGGGCGAAATTTCCACTGTAGAGCGAAGCCGCAATCTCCAAGCTTCGAAAATGCTCAAAAAAATGCATTACAGACTGCATCCACCTGGATGAGCCGCGGCCTACACATTAGTTATTCGGCGCACAAATCGTTCACGTCAAGATTTTCACTATTCAGGCGGCTCTGATACCAATAAAGTAAGCGCGGAGCAATGGGTTTTTACCTGGGGGGGGGGGGCGGTGACACGAGATTTAACCCCTAATCACGCGCAAGTGGAGCCATTTTTCATATTTAGTTGAAATGAATATATTATCTATAAAAATCTTGCTGCTTCGGGTTAACCAACCTGAGCTTCCCCAGCAGCCTCCTCTCTTGTACGGAACGTGCTGAGCCTAAGGGCAACAACTTCGTGGGCATCGGTCTTTGCCAAATACGACACTCCACTGTCTATCGCTTCAGGGAATAATCCTGCAAAGATTTTCCTTTCTGTTTTATTCAAAAACTAAAACGTTGGACTAGCTTCTCGTCCCACGTGAAACTTTACGTTTCATGAGGTCTTGACGAGGTCACCCGCGGCCATTGCAAGTTCCAATTTTCATGAACGCTCCCCAGTTTTCAAATCGCATGAGAAAATGCGACATCAGAGCTTTTGAACATGCAGCAAAACTTATTTCGATATTGATCAGAACAAAATGAGGGTCCCCTTAGCCCGTTTTTTTTATCTGTTGGGCCGATGTCATAGTTTGTGAATCGACTGATGCATCTGCAAGTTGAACTATGTACCAGTGATCCCAACGACGTACCAGCGACTCAATAGTGGCTTCAAAGGAAGCCCGCCACTTTCGAACAGTGTCCACTGTCAAGTCCCGCCACTTTCAAAAAAAGGGTCCACTGCAGCGATTCGCTAGCGAATCCAGCGATTCGCTAGCGAATCGCTCGATTTCTAGATATGACGTCGGCCTTAGCCTTCTAAGAGCGCTAGTTTTCAGGCCTCAAATGGTTACAACTCTATTCAAAATTGATACTGTTGAAATAGGCAAACAATTTTGGAAAGCTACTAATCTTGTGCCTTATAATGGATACTATATCTCATCTGAAAAGTCCCGACTCACAAACTTTTCTTCTCCAGAAATTTTCTTCTGAACACACAGGCATGGTCGAAAAACATCGGGTCCAGTAAAGCAATACCTGTGACAATCAAATATGGACCGGTTTGCCGTAGTTATTATAGCTCTGCTCTGGTTTGCGGTCAAGAGTCGAAGAACCACCCGATCATTATAGCACAGTAGGTTTAGTGCATCACCTCCATCAATCGTTAAATACTGTGGACCTGGGCCTAGAGCTATTCGATTTAGTCGTAACTTTGTTACATTTGGTCATTTCCTTGCGGTTTTAACGCGTGACGTTTTCTTACAAATTTAGGTTATTTCGCTAAAGGCAGCGGTTACGATAAATTCGGGAATGGGTTATTGTAACGTGGCGGTGCTCAATAGTACGCCACTGGCGAAAAAAGAGGATAAATCCATCAAGAAAACGCAGAAGGGATCCCCTTTTTGGCCGTTGATTTTCACTTATGAACGGCTCAGAAAGTGGACGTATTAATGTGTTCATCGCAAGGCATTTAATGGCACCAAGCCAAATCACGTTTTAATCGAGACAGCTCGTTCAAATCAACAAGTGCGCTAATGACTTTTGTGCTTTTGAAGTCCTGCTGAGCAGCCAGCGCACCCTTTGTTGTGAAAGCGCCACCTCGCTTCCCTGGCAGCTTGTAACAGATTCGTATAGTGCCATGCTTCCTTGATGCGCTCCCTCTTTAGCCATGCATTGTCTCCATCCACGCATACCCACGCATTGCACCGTTGACTAGTGCACATACAATCACCCCATTCCGTTGGATAAATGGGACCCCCTCGTTCCGGGCTCTGACGGTGAACCCTGCCCCCAAACCTCAACTAATTCAGATATCGCTCCTGGCCCCTACATGCTCTCTTAAACTGAACTGAAGTGGACTGAATACAACCCCTGGCTGGTAAAACCAATAGACGGTTGAATCGCTCTAGACAATGAGCACTCGCAACGGGTCTCACTACAATACCGATCTCAATAATCGCAAGCAATTAGAAAGGGCACTCACCTTTTAGAAAAGTCAATGCATCGTCTCTGCCAAGCTGAAGGTGTTTCTCCACCGATTGCAAGGCGTAGGAGTCATTTAGGAGGAACTGGAAGATTCCTTCAAGGTGGGGAATAATAGGAGATAAAGATATTGTAGTACGAATTATGCATAAATATTTTGAAGAATAAAGTGACCAATGTTCAACTAGAGCAGGTTCGGTACCTTTGAGAGTATTTTCCCATGTTCAACAACAAAGCAGGTTCGGTACCTTCGAGAATATATTTTGTTTTTTCTCCTAGTTCCGATATGGAAATGAAACACAGAAAGATTTCGACGAAGGGCATAGCGTGGTTGGCGCTCTCAAAAAAGAAGTGGAGGTGCGTAGTGAACCTTAGTAATAAAAATGATAAAGAGTTCTTCGAAACCACCGAAAATCAGGGGCCATCTGTAGGCATTTCCTGCTATTCGTGACCGCGAAGACTGCGTCATCAATTAGATTACAGACGAAGAGCGGTGGGAATCAGATATACTCGCGCATTCCATTCCCTAACCGGGAAGTTCTTTCAGGACAAGAAGCTCTTTTTCAAAAAGTTTTGTTGCATGATATAGGGGCACATGCGTGGAGTATGAAAGCGACGGGCTTTTTCTCTGAGCGAGCTTGGCGTTGCCAGGAAAAGAGTGGGAAGTTTCACCTTGAGAAAAAAACTTCCTCAGTTTCAATCAACTCTACATTTGAGCGCTAAATATAATAGTTACATTTTGGTAGCTTTTTGTTCTTTTAATAAATATGAGCCCAAAAAGTGGAAAGCAGAAAAATAAAAATTTGTCTTCGGTGAGGATCGAACCAAAAGCCCAGGTTTCCACATGTTTTTTGGTATAGGGCCGCTCAGAAACATATACTCGAAGTTTTGTACTCCCTGTGTATCTTTATAACATGAACAAAAACGTTTCGAAAAAGCGCCTGAACGTGAAAGACTTTTGTGATAAGCGCTCTTCATACAGGGTGGAGCATAAATCTGGTGACGAGATTTAACCACAGCAAATGCTTTACTGAGCAATGAGATGAGCTCATGACTGGACCGTCAGATTTGCTGTTACTTTTTGTATATAATTCCATGATTTTATGATTTCATGACCTTTATTTGGTGAATGGCTCCACCAAATAATATCCGATACGTGTGGGATCTTAGTCTCACATGCTGCCGGGTGGATTCCTTCCGAGATCTGCCGTATCCGAAGGATGCAGCGCCAGACCATCTTGCGACTCATTGCAGTATACACAATTCTCACAGTTCCACAGAGGTTGGCCGTTCATGGAAGCCTAAGGATTGCTGAGAATATTGTCCATCATAGTTTGGTGAGGACCATAAAGTAAATAAAGTTGTATGCAGAGTTGGCAGTATCAGGATAAACGATGCGAAGGATTCCGCATCGAAAGCCTGGGATACATGCTTATAAATGCCATAGATGACAGTACAAGCTCTTTTGGATAGGAATAGGAAGAATTAAAAATACCGAAGGCTTGGAGCGCGTGCAGCGAACGGAGCCCGTATGAACACCGACGATCGTAAAATGTGGCATTGAGTCTTTTCTGAAGATTGGTGTTAGAAGGCATTTTTGGATTAAGAGGCATTTTTGGACCTCTGAGCACATAGCTGTTGAAACTCCCCCCTCCCCCTCCATTATGTAACGTGGCTACTTTCTTACCTCATTACCCTGGTTTTTCTAGGGATACCCTAGCTTCTCTAGGGATGTTTTCTGCAATTCTCCTTTTTTTGGTGAATGGCTGCTGGTGCGTTAGTTGGTACTCGGTCTAACGGTAAGTCTAGACTGAAATTGAATCACAAGAGGTTGAGATGAAATGGCTGGGGTTAGTATAGGGATGCCCCAAAATTTCATCTGTCATCCGCAGTGGTGGGAGGATTCGAATGTATTTCGGTGGTGATGTGTTAGTGAGTATGAAGTATAAAATTGCAGCGCTGGTCAAACCTCCTTTGGTGTGAGCCATGCACTACTTTCATTGGGAATCATAGCCACATTTGATTGCGATTTGCCTTACACAATTGCTTCCGGGGGCAGCCGAGTACGACACAGTTTTCATCCGCTCGGACGACTAGTCCCAACCAACCGATCGGAAAACTGGAAGGCTCACCTGTGATTTGGCAGGGCGTACTGGTTTCCGGTACTTGCCTAGGCTTTATTCCTTTTATTCGTCGACAAATCGTCACTGACTTCTAAGAAGTGGAGGCTTGATATGTTGATGGAATAACGCATTTGCTTTGTTGCGCCTCTACTGGGCCGCCTCCTCTCAAAGAGACAACCTTGCAAACTTTCTATTTCAACTTTTTGACAATCTGTCTTCTGGGCCCGAGAACTCTCGCATTAGATTAAACTCTTAAGTGCAAATAAAACTACAGCAACACTAAATATACAGCTGTGATGAGAAAACGATGAATTATGAAATCATTCTGATAAAAGCAGCAACAAACAATGTAGACGTTCATCAAACCTTCATCACGTCGTCAATATCGTTCTCAGTGAATCGAATGTAATGCATTCTCCGCAAAACGTTCAAATATGTGTCCAGAAAAGGAGGGGCTGGTATTCACACAAATGTGCGGTTTATATTGATGCTGAAAAAAAAGTTTCGAAACTTTTCCACGATAACGAAGGAACCTCATGAGACATCTGAGCAAAGAAGGAACGAAATGAAGGCGCGTGGATCCTTGAGAAGTAACCTTCAATTGGCAGGTGACAACTGTCTTCACGAAAGCAACAACAATTATTAGGCGAGTGAACACTAAAATCCTGTGGAGAATCACTATGGCCACCACAATCTTTGTAAGATCAAAGTAAGTATAAGTTGTGTTGAGCCTGATCAATGTGTGCGCCACGCATTTGGCGACTCAGATTTGGAAAGCATTCAGAAGCGCATATGATTCGCATGAAGACTTGGAGAAGCCAATCAACTTGAAGTAAATGCTTTCATCCTTTGCGACATGAGTAAGACACCAATGCGCCAACTCCGTCTAAATTTGGGGTTTGCGTGACTTTATACGGGATTTGGTCTCACTGATGGTACGCGATGAATGCCGCCTTTGCTAGGGCAATAATTTTATTTTATTGATCGTCTCATCACGCCTTAGAAAACAGTACAATGAGTAGTTTTCCATGCAAAGGATTTATCCCGACTCCCGTCGAATGGAAGTAGAGTGTGTAAAAATGTGGAGCCTTTTTGCAGGGCATTAGAAGGCGATGACGACCCAGAAGAGTGAAGTCTAGTAGAAGTAATTGTCATAATTGCCCAACTTAGCGGCACTCGCAGCCCTTCAAGCTCGTTCAGCGTTTCTCATTGTGGCTTAGCAGCAAAATTGTTGTGGAAATCAACGCGAGGGCTACGTAGTTGAACGTTGTTACAAATGAAGATAGAATAAGGTTGACGCACGCATGCCCGGCGACCCTACCCCCCTCGACTACGCGTTGTTGCGTAGTCGAGGGGTAGGGTCGAATAATGGGAAAGAACATATAAAAGCCATGCAAACAAAATACGAAGAAGTGCTCGAGTACTTGTGTCTGTGAGAAAAATGTTGATTAAACTTCCGAATGGAAAACACGCATTAACTTTTCCCTTTATTTTTCAATCCTCAAAATATGCAATTCTTCCACCACACGTTTCCTAATTGCCTTCAACTTTTGCTTACTTGGATTGTTTGATTAATGTAGTTTTCTCCCTGCAGTCTATGACAGAAGACAGTCCATTTTTGAATTTCAAAGAATAGAATTTTTCGAAGAGCAGTGAAAAATTGTCAACTATGTAAATAACGCAAGATTTGAGTGAAGTTGTGTAGTGGTTAACAATTTCTCAAAGTGGTCTGCGGGATGGAACTAACAAGAACTCTCAGAGCCCATTTTTGCTATCCGATCCAGATAAGTGCCGCATAATTAGAAAAGCTTGCAATTCTGTCGGTCGTACACGAAGACGGGATCCCTCCAAACCTAGTTTCTCACCAAAAAATGTTTCATGTGTTCTAGAAACCACAAAATCACTGTTCTTCATCGAGGTAAGTGCAGCGCACTCTCTTCAACTTAATCTTATTAAAAGGTGACCAGGGTTGGGGTTCTTTCTGCTGTATATTAGAGCTTCTTGTCGTTTTCGTGAAGCTTTTTTTTGGCAGATGTTTCTTGCTAGAGAAAACGTCGTTGTAATAAGGAGAAGCACTTACCATTAGGAGAATAAACGCAAACACTGAAGCACAAAAGGAAGGAACTGGCCTCACCCCACTTGGTTCGGCTGTAAATACTTGTGGTAAAAGTTGCATCGGTTTTTGCGTTAGTTCCTCGCCGAAGAGAGCAAGATCATTACTTGAGTGCCCTTGTATTCTTAGAACATACAAGCAGACAAGGCAGTTGTCGTGAAAAGACACGGGTTGCGATTAGTTTCCTAGGGGGGATTTTACAAGAGTTAGGCAGCAAGACCCTGAACTACATGGGTGCTAGCATTGTCACAACTGAAAAGGCCTTACGAGGGAGCTATTCGTTTACCGTTGCGACCACTAATACCCTTATTAGTGGCAGAATACGTGACGTCAGGGCGGAAGTGGTGTAGTGACAAGTGGCACGCTTACTACGCGAGCGGTCCAGAGATGAAGTTCTGGGTCGTGAGTCGCCCGGCCCAACCAAGCCTTCCATCCCTCCGGGGTCGGTTGATTGGTACCAGACTTGTCTGGGAGGATAAAAACACTGACTTGTACATTGGCTGGCCCCCGCAAGTCATTGTATAGGCCACTACGCATTCAAACGCCACTACGAATATACACATGGAAGTAGAATGCGTGCCGCATCCCACAAAGGGATTGAACAACGGCAAATGCTTTTATGCTTTGCTCCATGGTTTTATAATGTTTTTTTTGCGTTTTCATCCGACATGTTCCTTTTCTAACCTTTTTTCGATTACTTTCTTTTCTAAGTTCTATGTTCTTGTTGAACGAAATACACCAACTCAATAAAACGCGTGCCTCCGGGAGACCTAGAAAAATTGTTAATCATTATGCAACTTCAGTCTCAAAGCTCGGCCATTTTGACCGGTTGGCAATTTTTCGATGCTTCTGGAAGAAACCTCCACTTTTTCGAACTCCAAAGCAGTTTTTCTCTTGTCATAACTTGCAAAATAGGAGCTGGGAAGAATCTCAAACGTTTATTGGGCAGGAATAATGCAGAAATATCATTCAACGAAGACGTGCACTGGCGGTATGATTTGCAGAGTAGGCAAAGCGCTTTTACAAAAAGTAAGGGGAATTTTTTTACGTTTCTCATTGTCAGTTGCAACTTCGCGTCGCTGAGCAGACTCGCATCTGCTTTTTCTAAAACAGCTCGGATTGATATTTTGTGGAAGGTGCTTTAGCACGATACGGGGCCATTATTTTGGACTAAGCTTGAGTGGGGCGTGAACTTGGGGGAGAATGAACGCTCAGGCAAGCTTATGTTAGTCCCTTGTTATTTTTGACGGATTTTTCACGCACTGCATAATTCGTAGCGCGCTTGCCTGGTAAGCAAGAAATGTGTTTTCGATCCGCCTGGGGCGAAGTCCTGTTAATACCCCAGCATACTATAATAGTAAAACAACAAATCGTAATAAACTAAATTCCCACTGAAAATTAGAAGAAATCTATTCTATGCATCCTTTCAAACCCCATCCTTCCAGCTCTGTGATACTACTTTCCGCTGCATTGCCTTCCCAATATGTTTCATGCGACCTCACGTCGAAATTTTTCTCTAACTCTGAGCCATGTGCACAGAAATACGAGATGAGATCGCTCGCAGCGTGCTACGTATTGCGTACACGACTCGGATTATGTGTCATTCGTACACAGTGCTCCCATAGTGATTGCAGTAGTATTTATTTATTTATTTACTAATACATGATAGGGAAGGGCGGCAAAGCTTGAAACACAAAACTTGAAACACACTGGATTATGCACAGCACCAATCCCATTAACAAGGATGCCATGGGTGGCTGCGACATCTAGAAGCTTTGGATGAAAAATGAAAAATCAATAGAGGAATGTTGGCAAGAAAGGCACCAGCGGATGACTGCAAAACAAGCAATGACTCTCACATGATACTTGTTTGTTGTTGGTTCTTGTTGACGGCCTGGGTGTCTCCCCCGTTCCCCGCCCCTCCCCATTGCGGCGACGAAAACACCAGAAAGACGAGCTGCAGTGGCGATATGCAACGTGCGAGCTGTTCTAGCGTTCCACACCCAAACCGTTCAATGTCAGAAGAACTTTTTCAAATCAATGTTCAGACATATTTCCCCGTTACTAATGGTAGTACTGGTGTAGTGGTGCTACCATCAAAATCCGCTAACAAAAACATCACATTTGTGCCGGAAGAAGCCATCCCGTTAGATATAAACATAAACTTGGCCAATAAATATGAGGTCATCTCATTCAAACATGTGGAGACATCTAGAGAAACTATGAGAAGAGTAAAAAAGCTAAAGTTTCCAGCTTACTTTTGTTTTAAGCTAACACCCCTAGCTACGATACACCCAAATTTAGCGTACACAGCCTTGAAAGAAATTATTTAAAAACTCATGATAGTGGCCAAAAGCAAGGCAGATTTTCGAATGAAGCGTTATACGTGGAGAATTCGCAACTTGAATCTTGGCGTGCTGGCTCAACTTACGCGAGATACAGCGTTTCGAAATGCTATGCTGATGTGTTGGTGTGAGAGCCCAAAGAAGGAAGAACGGTGCGATTTGTGGCTGAGGAAGAATTCACATTGCGCACACTGCTCAAAAAAGCAGGTGGACGAAATCAGTTGCCAAATGGCGGATTGCGGATGTGGGATCATTGCAGAATTTGCCCACGAGACCTGCAGCCCTGCCCATCTGTTAGCCGTATTGTGCTTAAAAATTGGAGATTGGGTCACAGAACCGTTTTTGTACGTCTCATTACTTGCAAATGCGCGAGACCAGACTCGAAATGGTGTCTGTAGCAATGATCTTCCCTGCCAATAACGTCATTCAAGACTATTGAACTGGACGTTGTCCATAAACTAAACTGATGGTGAGTGCTTGAATTTCTAGGCTGAGTACAAATTCACAAGCGTCGGCTTTTGATGAATGCCAGTACGGAACTACCCGAAATGGATCATGAGAAGTATTGTGGATTCACGTAGATGATTGCTATGATAAAGGGTTTCTGAGATGTGCCTCTTAGGCTAGTCTGCACGTGAAAAACCTCCATCGTTGCTCAACTGTATTGCTTACTTCTTAGCGATCACATTGGCAATTGAACAGCAGAACACAATGCAAGAACGATATTACCACCTATTTTAATACATGCTCCACGTAGCTCATATTGCTCCGAAATATTTCGGCCGAACATGTTGAATCTCTACATATTCACTGTATTGTCCCGACTGCAGCCGTACGAGCTCAGTGGTTTTGTCCAATTGAAGGCGCGTCTCGGCTCCACACAGTAATACTGTGTAGCTCAAAAACACGACACAGGATTCGGAATGCTACTGTTACTCAAAGAGCTACAAAGTTCGATAAAATGCACGTGTGAAAAATTTTAAAAATGTAAGTCTCAAACTAAGTATCCCTCCCCTGTGGTAGGATACATTACTAATTATCAAACTGGTGGCCAAGTAAAATCGAGCATTTTTCGCTGTGTTTTTATATTTCGATCAAACCACTGTAAACATGTTACTCTAAGCTGTTTATTCAAGTAGTGTTTTCACTCTGTAGAAAAAGCATATGGCAGAAAGAGAAAAGTTTCAAGCTATGGGCTTCTCCACCGACTTTTCCAAGTTCACCTGGAAAATTACTATCGTAAGTTTGATGTAAATTTTACGTTCGGTCTTTTCATAGCAAGGTGTAAAACTATGAGATCGGTAATCCCATAGTTCCATAGTTGCGGCGCGAGATTTTTGCGATTCATCATTGAAACAGGCAGAACTCGTGCAGGATCTAGCATGCTTTGCGGTGACGAATTTGATGAGCATTCGCTTCACTTTTGGACAGCGAATGATGCGTCGTTTATCTTTGTTATCAATGTTTCGCAACGTAGGGGACTAGGCTTTTACTGCTCTACCTTCGTGATCGTGTAACAATAAGGCTAAAGGGGTATTCATATCAGCACGCTCTCTCCACCTTCCCAAAGAATTTTGACCGCAGACGGGATCCCATTCCAACGCAATTTGCGCGAACAATGTTGCAGCTTACGTGGAGGGTGCACAAAAATTACGGGAACAAGAACGTGCTGCTAACAGTTTTCAATTTTGAACGCCAGGAGTTACGTTTTTCAGGAGCTACGTTTTGAATTCGATATTCAGCGTCCCTTTTTAGACTCAGTCACATAAAATGTATCAATTCCGCAACGATCAATCTTTTAACTCTTCCAAAAGCAATCTTTGTTCTGCCTCAAAAAGCTACATTGCAAGACGATTTATCTCTATGAATTTTTTTGCCGACCATAAACAAAGTTCAAGTAGGCTATTTATCAGAATTAATAACACTGGACGGGAGGGGATCGCTTTTTCGACGAAATGAGCAATACCACGACGATAGTTTGAAGAAGCGCTAGTATCCAGCTTCTAGCTCAATCTTTCGTTTGGTCGCTGAAATTGCTAAGGGCACACTCCTGCGAAATTTGCTTAGCCACACCTCGAGAGGAAGGTTACCAGCATGAAAATGCCTAAGCTCCAACGAAATGATGCGAGCAATTGAAGTGAAAGCAAAATGTTAAAAGATGTTATCTCGCTTCCACAATAAGTTTCTGTTATTGGTCGTTTTCCTTGATGAGAGTTATTCCGCTGTACGCCATTCATGAATGAAAAAGGCAGCTGGACCACTAGTGGACTGCCACTAAAATGCTAACCAGCTCTTCAGCGATGGTTTTTGCAGAATAATAAGAACAGGATTTACGAGCTCGAGACAACTTGGACCTCTGCTGCACAAGATTTAAACTGGCACAAAAAATCATATCAAAATTTTTCAGACTCAACTGATGCACAATTCAACAGGACCTTCAATAGAAACACAGAGCATCAAAGCAAGTATGAGCGCCCCAAACACCATGGCAGACTGTCTTAAAATTGATGTCAACGAAACACCATGGGGTTCATCATACTGATGAACTGGCAACATAGTTCGCCCAACTCAAATCCCGTGAAATGCTCTGTACTGAGTGTGCCAGGGGCAAACATCTATCATAAGCATCGATCAGTGGAGCAGATGCTCTTGAAAGCCTTGGACTTCCTCAGCAAGACCTCCCTACATATTGGGTTGTCTCATAATTCCTGTCCAATTTTTGATCAAATTCGAATTTCTTCAAGTCAAATTAGTGTCCTTGCGAAAAATTGTATTATGTCAAAGCAGGCACTGCGACAATTCACCATCGCTCGCCATCTGAATGGAAGGGCTGCAGCAAAGTGAAGCCTCGATGCACCGGCCGACCATGACTGTGAAGCACATCAGACTATATGCGGATTCGCTCAGACGGGATTTCTAATAGCTGATAACCAAGGGAAATGTGTCAAGAGGCCACTGCGGCAACAACACGCGGCAATACTGATGACTACCTCGCAGTCAAGGCTCGCCAGCTCAACCAAAGCCCAAACTCCCCGTTCAGAAATGTTGTTCTTGATTTGTTAGACTGAGTGGGTGTTCCGTTCCCATAACCGCTTTGCTGTATGCAGACAAGTATTGCGAGTGCCATAGTGGAACAGTTACCAGGGTTGCCGCAGCGAGAGAAGCGTCCTAAACGTCTTCAAATCCTGTTTCTCCACATGAATACCCGACTTCACATTTCAAAGGTACATCACTTTTTGAGTGGAACTGGCTGGACCAAATTATCATATCTATCATATAGATATGATAATTTGGTCCATCCTGGCATTACTCTATCGGACTATCCTCTTTGCTTGGCCGCGGAGCAGCAGAGGCGAGAGAAGTCAATGAGTCCATGAAGACAACCACCTCAAAAACGACCTCGATCAGTTCTTCGAGACCTAGCTACACCCATTCTAGACGGAAAGCACCCAAAGGTTTCCCTGCAAATGGATCATATCATTGATTACGATAATGGTTATATTTTCGATCATTTGGCTCTCGGGAAAGATAAAACTTCAAGTGAATAAAATGTCGAAATTCGGACAGGAATTATGGGATTACCCAAAAAAAGAGTCGATGAGCTCTTAGAAACTCTTCGCTTGTGTATCAGCGCAGACAGTGGTCACTTTAAGGAGTGATGCTGTTTGATAGCCTTCCACAAATATTATGCTGTTGTAAATTTTGAGCTCTGCGGGCACAGTGGGTTTTCATGAATGGCTATTTCTTACCGTAATTTTGCCCACCGTGTAATTCGTTGACAAGTTCATATTGTCGATTTGGCTGTTGCTTGCTCTATTCGTTGAAGATCTGTTTGTACTTCTTTTTTTGACTTTTCTACACCTGGTTCTCCTGCTAGTTTCCGCAGAGCAGTACGAGTTTCCCTTCACCAATTTAGTGTTTAAGAGTTAAAGACGATAGAGTTGCGTTTATGCTCTCACCTTGAAGATGAGTTTGCCATAGTGAAACTTTCAAGATCACACGGACTGTTCTTTTGATAGCTCATCCTACGCTGCATTCTTTTTTTGTGCTTTGAACTATTTCTGCTGCATTTTGACTTAACTTGTAGTTCTAGAAGTTGATTGGTCGAATAAGCTGTCTCGTTAATTTCTTAGCCAAGTATTCCACTAGAACTCTACCAACAGCTCCACTGGTTCTCAATTGGGTATACAATTCGACAATGCTTAGTTTCCCCAAACGCATGGAGTACTAGCTCCTTCATGAACAAATTTGCTTCTTGATTATATGCAGCCGATGCAATTTCGCAACATGACCTACGGTATTCAGCGCGTCAAAATGAAGTATGGATCATGAAGTCTGGGAAAAAGTAATCGATCAATTCACAATGCAGCGGATGATGTCCAGTACGTGGCGCGTTGTGGGGCAATCGCTGAGACCCATCTTTCCAAAGAACGATCATGTTGCATAAGCGGGATTATATGTGCACCAAATACAAAAAATTTTTCCTCGAGATGAAACTCGAGTGCACGGGTCAACCTGGCATGTGGCTTTTGAAGAACATGAAAGCATATTCTCTTAAAACGAAAAAAACGCAAGATCGCATTTTCCATGTGAATTTTCGAAGTTATATGCGAGTCCCGTAATTTCCAAACAACCTTAAACAGGGATGAAAAACCACGTGCGCGCTGTATTTTGATCTCGATCTGGTTCTGCTTCGTGAATGAGTGATCAACACTTTCTTAAGGTTTGCTACAAGAATAATGTTCGCTGACAATCCAATATTCAATACCATGGTTACCCTGTATGAACACCCATTAAGCACACGCTCGATTTCGCGCGATGTTGCTGTCGCTACTGGAAGGCGGAGAGGCGAAGGTGGGACAGAAACGTAGGTTCTGATACGATGTTGGGTCCCAGTTTTACGTGTCATGCATGCTTCAATGTTTCCTACTAGTGATACATCCTTTTATACATACATGTGCATCCATTACACGAGTTCATGACCTCACAAGTGGAAATGGGCACAGCGGAGGCATAAAAGCATGGGCAGAAAAGGAGGTCTCTCCGGCTGCCAGGGGGCAAACTAGTGATGAGTATAATATAGAGCTATGTGAGTTACCTTTTGATCGCTGCCTAGTGGATCATAGACTGATACTGTCGTGAATGGACTAGCTGCGTGCTAAACGGTCGTAGATATTTACCACAGTTAGTTAGTCATAGTCAGGACTATTCCGTGAGCGTTAACGCGGGAACAGACCAACCATGACGTTCGATAGAATGAATGATTCAAACCTACCGCTGCAGTCTCGGAAGGATTCGGCGCCAAAAGGGTCAATTCTCGGTCCTCATGACGATCAACCGTCGAAACTTGGGTAGGTTGAGTAGGCTGTACCTCTAGCTGGAATAATTTCGGCATAAATATTGTAAAGGATGTTTGATAATGACGTAGGAGTAGTAGTGCAGATCTTCCTCAAACCATTTACTAAGAATTTCATTCATTATCATTCGGTTGAGTAGAGAATAATATAACTTGAGGGGGAGGGAGAGGAATGGGGCCAGTCCTTGTCGCGGCACGCGGTATTTCTCATTGAGATTGTACTAAGGTTGGCGTTCAACGAGAAACCCGATGAGCCAAGAGAAATGTAATTAGTTTGAGGGCTAGGGTGGGGTAGATTAAATTATTTGATTTGCTTTTGAAGCTAGGAATGTGAGAGTCTACATCATCTTGCTCAGAGAGGACATGTTGCGCGCCGTTGCGGCCCTGTCCACCCTTATGAGCAGGAAGATGTACCCCCTCCCTCTACACCGCCTGATTCTGGGAGAACTTCATCCGAATTGCCTGCGGTCGGAACGACTAGTCAGCCAACTTTTTGGATTCACATTTCAAGCTTCACCATTTTACTGTTCAATTCATGTTAGTTTTATAATCTCCAGTAATCTATCAGTGATCTGATTGAGCTGTATTGTGTAGATACTCTTCACGTCAATTCACTGGAACGTACCAATTCACTCTCGAAATAGCAGATATGATCCACTACTAATTGAATTCAGCTTCACCGAATCTGACTCAGAGTGGCTCGTTTACGGTGAAGAAGACCAAGAGAACGATTCCACGACAAAGTTGGAGCTTGACGAAGGAGAAAACAATAGTGAAAAGGCAGGCGGGCCGTCTATGGGAGCGGGAAGGTGGGGGGAGGGGGAAAGAAAGGCTAACCGCCATCCACTGACACTTCGCTCAAACAGTAACTAGGTTGCTGGCACATTGGTAAACTATGTTGTAATCAATAGTGCGTGGAGGGAATGTACTACGTATAGATGCCATTCTCGCTCTAGAAAACAGAAATGCTCCGAAGGAGGTTTTCTGTGTAATGCTCCAATCGTATAACTCTTCCATTTTATAAACCACCAACTTGGGGTGTTGGTTTGTATGTGTGTCGTATGTACATACATATGTATGTCTGTCTGTCTGTCCGCCCGCAAAATGAAGTGAGCGATACGCCAGCTAATGGAATAAACAAGCCGCTAACGAATCCCCGTTGCTTGCAGGACTTGCGCTATCAATGTTTTGCAATGGCTTGATTGTCACGACACCTCAACGGCTATATGAGCACCTAGTAAGTGAACTTTCACGAGGTGCTGTAGTGGCAGCTGGAGAGCAATGGAGGGAGAAGGGGAGGATAAGGGGAGGAAAAACAATGCTCAGGTCGAGGAGGGATTTCAGGCGGTTTCCCGGGACTAATCTAGTAGTTTACAATTCGCAATTTAACGAAGAAATTCTGACTTGTTTTGTTTGTTAACGTGCCGTATTTAACTGGCGCAGTGCGTTGCGAATCTTTCACAAGAAATGCTGGGCTTGTGAACCTTTTCACCCCAGGCGGGACTAGAACCCGCACCTCTCGCTTTCCGGGCAAGTGCGCTACCAGTTACGCTACCGGGGCACCATTCCATTCCAACTCAGCTTTTCATGGTATATGTACCATAGCTTTCAGCACTCACACTTCTAACGTGTTGAGCCTGTTAGCCGATATCGGCAATGACCGCGAGGCTGAAAGCTTTAGCAGTGGATTTTGACTTGTTTTGTTTGTTAACTGCTGTTTTAACGCCGCAGTTCGCGTTGCGAATTTAATGAAGAAAATTCGATACCCCCATATGTAAATCTTTAGTAGTACACAGTCAAGCTGAAGTTCATTCCTATAAGCTCGGCCTTCGATTTCGATTCCCACTCACACCACTGTTTACTATCAGGGTGAATATCGGTCGAGGAAATTCTCGACAAGCAGTCGTACCAGGCTGGGTCATGGTGAATCGTACTCGTGGGGGGTCAGTAAGATCAGTGGTATCGTGGTGCAGGTAGGAGTAAGAGGGAGTAGCGCAGCAGGAAACGAGGATGTGTGAAAAAATGATTCAAATTACTCTTTGCAAGTCCAGCCGCTCCATTGCTCCACCCTTATGAGAAAGACGTATTTGAATGCAGTACAAAGAATAAAAGTGCATCTCCACATGGAATGGGCCCACATGTGCCCATGCGCTGTGGCACCTCCTCAATCTGCCACCCGCTCCTTCTCCCTTGATACCTCGTTGAGAATGCACTATTTTGAGGAACCGTGAAGGGTAGGCTCTTGGCAAATGAAGCTGTTTCTCAGGCTACATATAGGATTACGAAATACTACAGTGCAACTTCTGTCAACTGGTTGTGATTACATAACACCTTTCAATCAATTCTGCACTTTGAGTGAAGATCGGATGCATGGTCTATACCTGAACAAGATCGGATGATGACGATTGCCCTCTTTTTTATTGCTTATGTTGGAAGAATTTGTTCTAGACACATTTCGAGCTTTGCCAAGAATTACGCTTGCAATGGTGCGGAAGGAAGCGGCTTTTTGAGTAACCGAGAATCATCCTCGATAGACCCTCGACGCTATATCTCTTGAACTAGAGAATGCAGAAGGAAGCTAAACATACTTTAAGAAGCGCAAACCCTCCACTTCTCGAGACCCTTCACTTCTGTCTTTGTTTTCTCAAGATCTTGCGAAATTAGAGAGATATTGTCTTTTGAGTGGCAAAAACTCGCATGACAATTTTATTGTTCTCGCCTTGACGGATTTTGAGAGACTATGTCTCCTCGAATGAGAGGCTTCAACCAATTCCATTACGGTCTATTAGTAGCAAATCCAGCTCTATCCAACCCTACCGCGTGCTGTTTGAAAGGTTGGGAAATGGAGGAATGGAAACTTTTCGTCGAGGGTGCCGTTTCGACGGCTTTATTCGGGAATTTAACAAATCTGACCCAGGGACAAATCGCGCCGCAGCTGCCGTTGTATCGGCCGTTGTGCTACACACTCGGCTGTTGTAATTTTGCATGTGCTCTGTTTTAGGGGGGTCTTGCCAAGAACTCGATTTCAGAGGGGGGTCGTACTTCTGCGACCACGTACTCGACACGATTTCTACTCTGGTCAAAATCACTCTGTATTTAGATCATAGCGCCTATTGCCTTTACCACAAACAAGCTACCACTGCGAAACTATACCGTAACACGACAGGCTGTACGAGTAATACGTAACGCAATATCTGACTTATTTTTTCTACTTAAGGATTTTGACAACTTGTTTAGAACTTGCCTCTAAGGTAGGCTTCGCTGTTGCTGTGCTTTTAACATCTCCAATCAAATTCTTTGGATTATATTCAAATTTCAAGTCTTTAACGGATCGTAACTGAAATCACAACTCCCTCTGTATGGATCTTTAGTGTAAAACAGAATATCACAATTCAAGTGTACTTCGCGGGCTGGTACTGAGAGATTTTGAGACTTAGTCTATAGTTGAATTTTACAATCTTCTGGAAGGGATGCTCCATTATCATATTCTCTCTAGCTGTTTATATTATACCAGCTTGGCTCCGCTCGCTAACGCGTGCATATCAAAGTAGGCTTTAGTGGAAATGAGCACAGCCGAGCTCTTTTTCGAACAGCAGACATTTGCTTTCCTTACTTTTGACTGATGTGATCAAGGAAAGGTATCTATTGTGTTGGTGATAAAGCAGCCATTCCCCGTTGCTCGTCAATACTCGCCAACAGAACTTAATTAAACCGCTTGTCATTCATCATTCTTGGAAACTGGCATTTACTAACGCCCGAATAAGCTTTGGATCACTAACACATTTACTTGTACTGTTTACTGTCAGCCATAAGCGAAAAGAGCTACCCATGATTCGGATGATGATGCTGGGAAGGTTTAGTGGTTGAATTAAGTTCTGTTGGTGACGGACGGTATTGCAATAGAAACACCCAACAATATATCACGCTTTCATACACTGACCATCTTGTGGAGGCTGGAGAGGTTAGCGGTCAAAAAGGTTACGATATTGACGACGACAAAGCGAATGAAAGAATGGTTGCTCATCGTGCATCTGGATAACAACTTAAGTGAATCCCCCGTCCTCAAGCTGCTCGTTCATATCACCCCCTATCAGCATCACTCTTGGCCACCCTCCCCCTACACACACAGGCTTCCGTTTCACCCTCTACGTCATTTTTCAGGGGACTGCGCCTTAATGCTGCTGGGCCACGCACTATGAATTTCATGACACTTGCGTTCTACCGCCTCTTATCGGATCTTATCAGCCGTTATCACCTTTTTCCCCGCCAAATATGTTCCCGTCCCTTCCCCCACTATATCTTATCTAAGGGATAGCGCCTAAATGCTGCTGGGCCGCGCACTATGGTTTTCGTGACATTGCATTCTAGCGCCTCTTATCGGTTCTCATCAGCACTTATCACCTCCTGTTCACCGCCAAATTTGTTCTCGTCCCGTCCCTATATCATATCTTGTTATTAACTCCTGAGACTGCTTGTCCGCGCGCTATGAGTTTCGTGACATACGGATACACACAGACAGGCATAGCGCTTTATATTAGGTTGACGATTGAAATGTCGCTTCCGTTTGTGCCTTTGTTTCTCAGCTTAAACACAATCTTTAGGATGGGAGACCATCCTTTCGAAAAAAAGATTCAGCACGCATGTTGCGAAATCTTAGGCGCCACTGAGCGGATGTTCCTCGAGCAAAACTTTTGCTTGAGGATGACTGATCAGAAAACATCTCTGAGCGTAAATATTCAAGCAGCAAAAACGGCCAGCGAATCCCACTAATTGTGTGCAAAACATTGAGCAGTAACACTTATTCTCTGATGCACGTTTTGCTATGGCTCTTCTAAGACTGAAGTAAAGGACCTGGCGACGAAGAGCATGGATTTTGACCTCTAGCTTTAGATAACGGAGAACTTAAGAAAGCCAACGAATTGTGTCCTCGACAAACCACACAAAACTTGCATGGAGATTCATTTGTGTGAACAGAAAAATTTAAAAGTTCCTACGCGCGACTGTTAAGGCCTTTCAGGATA